GGTAGGTCTGGGAGCCCTCGGATGGCTGGCTCATTGTGTGGCAGGTGCAGGCTGTGCAGGCACGGGTGCTTGCAGCCTTGCGACTGGCACAAAGTGTGTAGCCAGCCCTTAAGCCTTTAAGTGTCCCGTGGCCCTTTAAGGGCTCCGGGGCTGGGAGGGGGGCAATAGAGTTTCCCTGGTGTTGGCCAGAGTGGCCACCAGGGAAACCTGGGAAGCCTTAGCCTCCCACTAGTTCGAATTAAGGGTCTACACAGCCCTTAATTCGAACTAGCTAGTTCGAACTAGGCATTAGTCCTCGTAAAATGAGGTTTACCTAGTTCGAACTAAGCGCTCCGTTAGTTCGAATTAAGTTCGAACTAACGGAGCGCTAGTGTAGCGCCTATGAAAGTTAGTTCGAACTAACGTCCGTTAGTTCGAACTAACTTTGTAGTGTAGACATACCCTATGAAAGCATGCATGTTTCTCTATCACTGTTTCATTGCTGTCAATTATACTTTACAGCTCAATCACTTTCAACCCTAAGAAGATGCATCACAAAACCAGGTCAGAATCTAGTAGAGGCAGGTGGTTGACACATGTAATGCAACAAGTAAATGTGAGAGCAGCCTGTGCTACTGTCACCTGCTACTGTCATTCTGATACAAAACCAATGAGATTAGAAGACACCACTGTGGCAATCTAGTCGGATCTTCTGTATAACACAGGCTATAGGAATCCCCCAAATTAATTCCTGTTTAAAAAGCACATACATTTTAGAAAAACATCTAATTTTAATTTAAAAGTTGCCAAAGATGGGAGAATCCATCATGAAACTTGGTAAGTTGTTCCAATGGTTAGTTACCCTCACTGTTAAAAATGTACATTTAATTCTAGTCTGAAGGGGGCAAACTTCAGACCTAAATATGCTGAAAGGAAAAGAGCACAGTGGTGATATTTAAAACCTGAAAATATAATAAACACTCAATAAAGAATTAGTTTTGTATGCTAAAAAAACTGTAAAGTCTTCATCCAGGTCAACATCCCTCCCTGTCTGGCTATTGACTACACCTTCGAAATACAGGCAGTCCCCGGGTTACGTACAAGACAGGGACTGTAGGTTTGTTCTTAAGTTGAATCTGTATGTAAGTCGGAACTGGCGTCCAGA